TTTGTCTAGGGGGTGAGCTACTGGTCTGTTCTTGGAGGCAAATGTGGGTGGGGCACTGAGGGTGGGAGAGGGGCCAGGCAGAGTGCCACCTGCTGTGTCTGGTGGCCAGGCAGCACCTGTGGGCCTGGAGGTGGCCCCATCATGTTACTGGCCCTGGGCTCACGTGGTACAAGGAGACAGGTAGGTGAGAGCAGCTGTGGGGACCTTGGGAACAGAGACATCCCTGACACCTAAGATACCAGTTCTGGGAAGAATTGAGAAGTGCTGGAAGGAGAGAACAGGTCTGGAGAGAGGGGTGAGAAGTTGGCAATGCTTTATGTTAAGGACAGGAGTCTTGGAGAAGGATCTTGAAACCTAGCCTTCCACTTGATGGACAGGTGAGCTTGGTGGTGTCTGTGTATAATCTGAACATATCTGATTAGATGGCATCTGGCAAGTGCTCTGGTCCTAGGGGAGGACCATGCCAGGCCGGCTTGCTGATCTTGCTCACTAGGCACGAGAATGAAGCCAAGAGTCAGGGGACCCTCGGGAGAGGGAAGATTTCCAGGGACAGATCTGCTGTTGTCTGTACAGTGCCCAGGTACCCTCATCATCTTGCCAGCTGCTACAGGGCATCTGCCACCAAGGTCACATTAGCCTAAGGCTTTTGCCGCTTCAGAGGGCTGTGGCTTAGCTCAGTATGCAGCTAGACCCCCATCCGTGTGCAGTTAGATGAACTTGCTCTGGCAAAGGGGCTGGGCAGGGTGCTGTTGGGCCACCAGCCAGCGCAGACTTGACCCAGCCACTGTGTGTTTGTCATCAGTTGGTAATGCCCACATCTTTTGGTTAGGGTGGGTTCCATTCTTCAGTGTTGCCCAGCCTCAAGGTGCTCAGTCGCAGGTGTTGTCAGTAGGCTGACTGACATGCGGCTGCTGTGCCAGGCCTAGGCTGAATTTCACATGGATGCTGCTGCCCTATAGTGTCCTGGGCAAAGTGACATCCTATACAGTGACATGGCCTGGGAGGGGTGGATTTGGAAGGGGTGGGGGAATGTTGCAAGTGCAGCAATTGGTACAGATGCAAAGTGTGTGGCCTGGGCAGAGCAAAGCAACAGAGGGAGGACCTGCAGCTCCCCTCCAGTTCAGAGATAGATCCTGGCCTGTCCCACTGCGCTCCACTCCCCTTCCTCATGGCCAGAGTTCAATTGGCAACATGAGAGGACATGGAAAAGAAACAGGGACCTGCAGAGTGAGACATTGCCTGTGAAGGAAACCACAGGCCTGTGAGAAGACTCATTTATTTATCAGCCAATGAAAAATGGTCAAGCAAATCCCTATGGCAGATCTTAACTCCAGTGATCCACTTGATTTTTTTTTCAGCAGGCTATATCTTTGGCCCTGTGTGAAGATGAAGAGGGTGGTTGATGGGGTGAGAAAACATCAAACCCCCCAGGTCACAGCAGATTGGGGCTCTGGAAGGGGACTGTCCTTTCAGTGGAGCCATCTTCATGGACTTGCTTGGGTTCCTGTCGCCACCTGCCACACACTTTAGTTTTTTTTTAGCATAGCTGGGGAAGGAACACCTCCATGAGAGTCTTGCCAAATACGAGGAAAAGTAAAAAGGAATTTCTTATTGCAACTATACAGTGACAAGCTACAATGAGGTTTCTTGCTTTCCTGAATTTCCTACTGAGCCTCTCCTGACTCACATTTGAAGATTCTACTTAGTGTCCACACAGCTGTTGGGATCACACATAAGACTGCAAGTAACCCAGTGTCTGCACAATGCAGGGCCTGGCTTAGAGAAACAGCAGAGGTTCAAGGGCCAGACACCGTTCTGGGAGCATGGGGCACACCATTCAGTTCTCACAACCATCCTTCAAGGCCACTACTGGGATTCAAAAGTTGCCCACAAGGAAGTAGCATTTGAAAAGCCAGATAACTCACACATAACCCCACTGATGGCAGACTGTGCCTGAGGCACCCAAGCAGATCTACAGGATTTTAACGTCTGTCCCCTATGTTCCAAAACAAAGGCCCCAGTTGGCCTTCAGTAAAAACAGGGCAGTCCCCTGCACATTCCTTCCACAGTGCTTGGTCCCTTCTCTTTCCCCTCTTGGAGCCCTGGGATTCCATGTTCCCTCCTCCCTCCTATCTTGTAAATCTTCAGCAACCAGGCTGTATCCCTCGGAGATGGGAGGATCTACATGCACACCCTGAGTGATGAGGGAGGGAGAGCCGAGGACAGCAGGCCCAGCTACCTTGGTCTCCCCAGGCAACAGGCATGTGTGGGCATGGCTGGCTAATGGGCTCCAAGTGGTGCTGCAGGGAGCACGGTGGAGGTGGGGGCGTGGGCTGTGGAGTCTCAGGGTGTGCATTTGGATATTCAGGGCGTTAAAGAAGGAACTGCTTGCTGCTCACCAAGACCCAGATTGGAGAGGTGAGGTGGGGAGGGGTGACAACACTCCACGGGCTTCTTTCAATGCCTGCCAGGTCAGGAGGCTGTGTTGGACCAGCCAGGTCTCCTTGTGAACACACTGGTTCCCACTCCCCACCCCAGCACCTGGGGGATGTACTACAAAGATGAGCTACAGAGAGTGATGGTTGCCTTGGGAAGACCACCCTGCCGTTATCTTCCCATTCCTGCCCCTTCCTTGCCTCCTGTCCTTTGACAAAACCCCCCTGCACTGATGGGCTGATGGTCCAGTTCTTTATTTAGAAACCTGATTGTTCAAAAAGAGGTGGGTGGCTCTGTGCCCACCCTGTTCTTGGCTGGGATTGTGTTGGAGATGATGGGCAGCATTCCCCCACTTCCTGGGCCACAGAGGTGAGGCTTTCCCGACCTCGGAAGCGCAGGTGGAAAGGGCCAGGTGCACAGGAAAGGGAGAAGGAAACCCAAGGCAACCACAAGGGAGGGGAAACAGAAACCTCAACAGCAGCGTGGAAGGGAGCCTGCTAAGTTGCCCTCCTTCTCCGGCTCTCCCCGCTGCACTCTCCCCTAGGTAGCTGGTCCCAGGCTCCAGGCAGACAGGAGGGAAGATTCCCCAACTCAGGGGCTGGTGGTGGGGAGGGCCGAGGAGCAAGGGAAGGTGACATAGCGAGAGTGTGGAAGGGCAAAGGCCACAGGCCCAGTAGCCTCGTGGCGGCTCTCAGCAGCAGGCACCCCACAGCTCTCTTCCCACCCAGGCTGAGGCCCCAAAATCCATAGCTCAGCATTGGCTGTTTTGCCTTCAGTGGAGGGGATACCCCAGGGTGGGGAAGAGGCAGGGCCGGTCGGCTGGGATGGCTCCAGGTCTCAGAAGTCAAACTCCTCCAGGTCTCCTGTGCCCTCACCGCCTGGAGAGCCCCATACACGGCGGTAATTGCTTTCCAGCTCTTTCTGTCGCTGCCGTTCTTTGTGGGCCTCTTCAGCTCCCTGCACCTGCGGGAGGGGTGGGGCTGAGCGGCCGAAGAGGCGGGGCTGGAGGATCAGCTACCTCCAAGGCCAACTGACAGCAGAGAGCCCACAGAACGGATGTGAGCTACTTGGGCAACCGAACCTTTCATGGACAAACACCACGGGCCATGGCAGGGTAGGACAGGATGCCCCTCACCAGGATATTGAAGAAAATCTCCTTGAGGTTTTTCGTATCCTCATCAGTCAGCCAGCGCGCATCCTCCTCAGTCCCTTCGGCCCCAGGCCGCACAATTTTGATTTCGATCTTCCCTGGGAAGGAGCGGTGGGCTGTGAGAGACTGGGCAGCGGGGCAGCAGCCTCAGGCAGGGCCCCTGCCCCCAGCCCCTCCACCACGGGAACCCCTGCGGCCGCTCCAGCCCAGCCGCCCTCCAGGGCCCACCTTGGGCTCGGAGTCCCTCCCTCTCCAGCAGCTCTTTCACCAGCCCCTCGATTTGTCTCAGTTGCGGGTTTTCCCGTTCCATCTCCAGGACGGTGAGATCCCGATTGGGGCCTCCGGGACGGAGCTTGGTGACCCGGACCCGGACTCTGTGCTCAGGATCCTCCTCTTAGGGGGGCAACATACACAGGGAGACATAAAGCAGAGTCGGGCGTGACTCCAGGGTTGGGCTGCAGTGTTCACCTCTCCCTGAGCCCTCTTTGGTTTGGGTGCCCACCCCTTTACCACTTCCCACCCCATTTCTTTGATCAGAGCTAGGGTGCCCTCATGGGTCTCACTTGCAGAACTCTGGCCACCAATTCCAACTCCTCCTCCCCACGCCACCCTGTAATCCTGCCCATCACCTTCCAGGAAACAACTGCGTTTCTCAAAGCAAAACCTAGGCCACCTGTGCCAACCAGGGTGCTTTTAAGAAGCAGGTTGGAAAACTAGCTTCAGGCTTTACAGAGTGGCCCCAGGGACTGCCCTTGTGGGAGGTTCCACAGGGTATGCCTGCTGGCCACACCCATGGCACCCCATAGACTAGACACCACCCATAGGCACTGAGGAGGTGACTGCAGCTGTGTGCAGGCTCCCAGGCAGCTGGGCTCACAGCTGGGGCCTCTGCAAGGTGCACCCCCATAGGACTTGGTCCCAGAGTCACTCAGATCCTGCCTGCTGATCACCACAAGGAACCAGGCACGGCTCCAGGCATTGGGCATCCAAGAGCGACCCCCAAGACCAGGCATACAGGCTCCCAACTGCTGTCCAGGAGGCTGACCAGGAGGCAGCTGTGCTAAGAAGGGCAGGTGCATCCTTGGAGAGGGCAGGAACAGGTGCCCCGGCACAGTGCCAGCTGAGCAGTCAAGTGGCCGGGCGGCTCCTTCCCATCGGGCCTGTCTCACCTGCAGGCTGGGGTGACGGGGGAGGCTTTCGGGGCACAACCTTCCTTCTCCGGGGCTTCCGCAGCATCTCTGGACTCTGCTTCTCCTCCAGCCTTCTGATGAGTTTGCTGAGAGTGGACGTCAAAGCCAGCATGGCCCGCCTACTCTCAGACTCCTTCTTCAGCCCATCGGGGTCCAGCTCCTTCTCGGTCTGCAGTAACCAGTGAGAGCTGGTACCGCGGGCCGGCAGGCCATACTCTCCCCCAGGCCGCACCCTGGTCTCCAGCCCCCTTCCCCACCGCCCTCTGTTGGATGGAACAGCCAGATGCATGCTGCTGGCCCCTCAGCTCTTTGTGCCACCCTGTGGGAGCTGGCACCTGTGGTGGCCATGGAGGCAGCAGCAGCAGGTGTGAGGGCGGCGCCTACCTCCTGGATGATGTTCTCCAGCTCCTGCTCCATGCCGGCTTTCACCTCGGAGCGCAACCTCTCTCGGTCAGATGGGAGTAGTATCCCTTCCAGCTCCTTCTCAAATTCTCCGAGCAGCTGCCGCTCATCCTCATCTTCATCCTCGTCCTCATCCCCGTCTTCTTCTTCTTCCCCAGCCTCACTCTGGGGTTCTGTCTCCCCTTTCTCCTTCCCCTCTGCTTCCTGTGGAGGGGCTTCTGTGGCATCCTCTTCAGGCTCCTCCGGGGCTGTGTTTGGCCTCCCCTGCGCAGGTGGGGAAGGGGAAGGAGGGAGTGGGGGGTAGTTGTGGTGAGAGGTGTACAATGGGTCAGACAGTGGGGGCTGTGCCAGGGGGTGGAGGGCTGGAGGCATGAAGGACGCCTATTGGCTGGGGAGGTCAGATGCAGGCCTGGGTCAAGGGTGGTTTATTTAAGGCTCCAAGCTGGGAGGCAGGTCCTGCCCCTCCCTTGAGAGGGGGCCCATACCTTTTTGGCTCCACCTTTCAGCTCCTCTATTAATCGAATCAAGTCTGCAGGACTCCGAATGACCTTGACCTGCACGTTGTTCTGAAAGTCTGGGGTGAAAGGAACAGCATGGCTTTGTTGTGGGAATAAGGTGAGAGGGCCGGTTGCCACCAGGCCACTGGTTGCCTGGCTTGTCACATACTCCTGTGCCTCTTGGGGCCAGGACCCCAGGCCTCAGGGCCACAGAAGGGACCTCGGACCGGAGCCACTCTCCCTTCCCAGTATTAATGGTTCCTAGTCTCCTCAGCTCCAGCCTGCTGCTACAATTAGATTCCTTACAAGCCTGCAAGGCGGAGTTGATGACCTGTGCTTTATGGGTATAGAAGCTGAGGGGAAGCGAAATCATCCAGGCCTATGAAGTCAACAAGGAGTGGGGCCGCCACTCCTGCTCCCTCCCTCCCAACAACAGCCTTGTTGTCTGTCCAAAGCCATTAACTAGGGTAAAAGTGGACTCGCTGCTGGCATGGATGCCCACCTTGCCTCCCAGTGTTTAATGTCTACCCTCTGCAACCCATGTCTCAGAGGGCTGCCTCACCACTGGCAGGGGCTGGAGCTGGGTCTGCTGCCTCCGGGCTCGGGTCCTGCTCCTGATGGGGAGAAAGGAGTAGTCAAGTGTGAGGTCCTGTGCGTGCCCACCAAGATCTCAAGGCAGGGTTTCTGCGCATGCCTTACCTCCCTAGTGATACGTTAGTCACCTCAGCTCGACTCAGTTCAACTGACTCTCCCCACCCTCAAAGTCAGCTCCAGCCTTGGCAGAGGGGTGGCTGGGAAGCTGATTCTCACCTCTGCTGGGGCTTCTTCCCCTGCTGGGGCCTGGTCCTCTGGCTCCTGGAGCATCTTCCAGAAATCGGATTGCTTGTTGTCATCCTTGGCTGCGCTTGCACCTGGGATGCAGAGGGGCAGGGGGAGGAGTCTGAAAGGAGGTGAGAAAGGAAGGGAGCAGACAGAATGGGGCACACATCCCACCTCTATCCCTAAGAGTCCATGGCACTCCTCTGGCCCAACCCATCAATCAGTACAGGGGACTGAAGGTTGAATGGAGGGGAGAAGTGGAAGCCACTTGCATAGGACAGGGAGGCAAGTCCTACCTTCTCCCTTTGGGGGTGCCACCCCAGGCTTGGCCTCACTCCACGCTTCAGGCTCCAGCTCCTGTGCCTCCTCCACGACTTTATGGTCATCCAGCTTTGAGTCTGCTGATGGGCCACACAGGGCCATCAGGTCCTCTGGGTGATTCAAGACTTTCTCAGCTTCCTGGCCCTTCCAACAGCCCGCCCCATGTCCTCACCATCTTGTCTCTGCAGGTAGGCTCTGTACTCCTCGGGCTGCAGGGATGGCTGACAGAGAATGGCCTGTGGAGCAGCACTGGGCGGGGGCCGGAGTAGAGGGTGGGGGCAGAGGCGAGGAGTGCGAACGGTCAGCACATAGGAGCACGACAGGGGCTCATCCACACGATCGATGTAGTCCCCAGAAATTCCTGCGCTCTCGTCACAGAGGAACTGCCGGGACACAAAGGGCGAGAGGCTTACAGGGACCACCAGTGTCCAGCCTGCGTTCTGAGAGCAGCACATCCTGCACAGTATGTGTACCATTTCTCTGGTACTTTGCAAACACTCAGAGGGAGGGACCCAAGGATCTCAACTCAGTAGCTCAAGGAACCGAGGTCAGGTGCAGTGAAAACACTTGCTTGGGTTGCTCAGTAATGAAGCTGGGAAATGAACACGGGCAGCTGACAGGTCACCAGGCCATTTTAATTGTACAGTTTTGCAGCTGGTAAAGCCACCACCTGCAATGCTGGCTGCTCTCCTTCCAATCCACCCCACTGTTCATAGCCTAGGAAATCAGAGGAAGATGGCTCACATGCTGGCCCCTGTTACCCACATGGAAGCCCTGGAAGAAGCTCCTGGCTCTTTGTTTTGATTTGGCCCAACCTCAGTCATTGTAGCCATATGGGGAGTGAACAAGTAAGTAGAAGATCTCTCTGTTTTTCCTTCTAACTCTGACATCAAATAAATAAAAAAATTTAAAAGATTTATTTATTTTCATTAGAAAGGCAGATATACAGAGAAGAAGAGAGGCAGAGAGGAAGATCTTCCGTCCGATGGTTCACTCCCCAAGCAGCCGCAATGGCTAGTGCTGAGCCAATTTGAAGCCAGGAGCCAAGAGCTTCTTCTGGTCTCCCACACAGGTGCAGGATCCCAAGGCTTTGGGCCATCTTCAACTGCTTTCCCAGGCCACAGACAAGGAGCTGGATGGGAAGCGGGGCCACCGGGATTAGAACCGGCACCCATACGGGATCCTGGCACGTTCAAGGCGAGGACTTTAACTGCTATGCTATCGTACCGGGCCCAAATAAATAAACTTTTAAAAAGGTTTATTTTATTTTTATTGGAAAGTCAGATTTACAGAGGACAGACAGACAGAAAGATCTTTCACCAGTTGGAGCTCAGCCAATCCAAAGCCAGGAGTCTGGAGCTTGTTCCCAGTCTCCCACATGGGTGCAGGGTCCCAAGGCCTTGGGCTGTCCTCAACTGCCTTCCCAGACCACAAACAGGGAGTGGAAGGGAAGTGGAGCAGCTGGGACACGAACCTGAGTCCATATGGGAATAATATATAGTCATGTAAAGCAAATTATGAATATATGTGTATTTGTGTGTACACAGCATATTTGTAAGAAGCAGGAGTTTGATGCAGGGGTTAAGACCTTGCTTGGCATGTGTAAAACCCATCTCTGGGTTTGAGTCTTGGCTCTACTTCCAATCTTAGCTTCCTGCCAGTGTCCCTCCTTGGAGACAGCAAGTGATGGTTCAGGCACTTGGTTCCTGCTCACGGGCACCCTGGGGGGCAGCAGTAATGACTCTCATAGCTGGGGCTCTGCTGCCCACATGGGAGACCCAGTTCCCGGCTCCTGGTTTTGACTTGGCCTGGTCCTTACCATTGCAGGCATCTGGGGAAGTAAACCAGTGGAAAGCAGTTCTCTCTGTCTCTCAAAGAAATCTATATTGGGCCCGGTTGATAGCCTAGTGGCTAAAGTCTTGCGTTGCACGCATCAGGATCCCTAATGGGTACCGGTTCATGTCCCAGCTGCTCCACTTCCCATTCAGCTCCCTGCCTGTGGCCTGGGAAAGCAGTCGAAGATGGCCCAAGGCCTTGGGACCCTGCACCCATATGGGAGACCCGGAACAATCTCCAGGCTCCTGGCTTCGGATCGGCTGAGCTCTGAGTGTTCCAGCCTCTTGGGGAGTGATGCAAAAGATGGGAGATCTTCCTCTCTGTCTCTCCTGCTCTATGTATATCTGACTTTCCAATAAGAATGAATAAATATTAATATATATATATATTAAAAAAAGAAAGAGAAGAAAAGGAAGAAAGAAAGAGAAAGGAAGAAAGGAAGGAAAAAAGAGAGAGAGAAGGAAGTAAGGAAGGCAGCAAGGAAAAAAAAGAAAGATCAACTAAACCGAGAGTTTGTAGCGTTTGGGCTGTCTCCATACCCAACCCCCACAGCTCAGCAGATACAGATTCCACCTCCCTTGCCTCACCATCCGGTTATGGGATATGCTATTTCATAGAGGGCGCAGGCCACCAGTATCTGTCTATGAGATTCCAGACCAATGTGATGGAGAGGCCCAGAGCAGAGCCTGGGGGAAGCAGACCATGCCCCTGCCTCCAGCTCCCTAGCAGGGATCTGACCATGTGAATTAGAGCAGGTGGGTGAGGGGGAAAGGAGTCCAAGGCAAAGAGAACTTTCAGACAAGTGGAGCTGTGTAGGATGTTCTAAGATGGTTGTCACCACCTGTGGGTACCAGCATTCCCCACTGTGGTGCTGCTTTGAATCCAAGCTGCCCCATTTCTGACCCAGCTCACTGCCAATGCACCTGGGAAGGCAGCTGAAGATGGTCCAAGGACTTGCGCCCTTGCCATCCACATGGCAGACCTTCACTGAGGTCCTGGCTCCTGCCTAGCACCTGGCCCAGCGCCGCTGGCACAGGCCTCTGGGGAGAACAGCAGAATACTGGCGCTCTTCCGTTCATCTGTCTACCCGTCTGGCTGCCTCTCAAATAAAAATAGATACAATTTTTTTTTAAAGAGAAGTGAATGACAAATTTCAGAAGTTTGTAATCAAGGGGTCAAAGGAGAAATCACAAGAAAATTACAAAATACCTCAAAATGAATAAAAACATAGACATGACGTGCTCAAACTCACAGGCTATGGCTGCAACCGTATGCTAAAGTCTAAATAGGGCTTGTTCCTCTCATCACTCTGAATTCCTGTAAAGTTTTTTTTTTTTTTTATTGTTGTTTACATTGTATTATGTGGTACAGTTTTATAGGCGCTGGGGATTCCCCCCACCCCTCCCCCCATGGTGGATTCCTCCACCTTGTTGCATAACCACAGTTCAAGTCCAGTTGAGACTCATTCCTTGCAAACACATGCCTAGCTCCTGTAAAGTTTTAAAGCCCAAAGTCGTAAGTGAATGCCGTCGATGTTCAGAAGAGGGACCACTGAGAGTCATTAGGTTTCGACGGTCATTCAGGCAGACTCCCCAAGAGTGGAAATTAAACAACATACTCCAAAGTAACAAATGGGTCAAAGGAAAAATCACAAGAAAATTATACGGCCGGCATAATGTCATAGCAAGTGAAGCCGCCGCCTATAACCCTGGCATCCCATATAGGTGCTGGTTCAAGTCCCACCTGCTCTACTTCCAACCCAGCTCTCTGCTAATGGCCTGGGAAAAGCAGAGAAGACAGCCAAGTGCCTGGGCTCCTGCCACCCACTTGGGAGACCCGGGTGAAGCTCCTGGTCCTGTGTTCAGCCTGGTCCAACCCTAGCCATTGCAGCTATTTAGGGAGTGCACCAGTTGATGGAAGATCTCCCTCTATGTCTCTCCCTCTCTCTTTGTAACTCTTTCAAATACACAAATAAACCACGAAAGGAAAACACCTGAGTTATAAAGTACCTCAAAATGACTAAAAACAAAGATGCAACTGCAGCTTTACCAGGATGGGTTCAGGCCCCACAGAGCCACACGAGGCTCCCTAGCTGTCTGCTGTGAGATGCTGGTCCATAAGGACTGCACCAGTAGGAAGGCTGTCATCCAGTGATGCCCTAGACCTTGTACCTCCTGAACCACAGACCCAAATAAACCTCTTTTCTGGAGGAAGCAGCTTGCCTTCAGTACTCGATTATACTAATGAAAAGCTGACTCATACACAACACTTAGAGGCAAATGCCTTGCTATAGACATTATTATTTTTAAAAACTTGAAGCTCAAATCAATACCCTAGCCTACCATTCTAAGAAACCAGAAAAAGAACAAACTAAACCAACAGCAAACAAGGGGAAGGTTAGGATACGAATTAGAACTAATTTAATACAGGGAGAAGAAGAGAGAGAGAAATACACCTGCTGGCTCTTTCCTAAATGGCTCAACAGTCAGCCCTGCGAAGACCCCCATATGCAAAGACCAGGAGACCTGCTAGAAGGCAGCACTCCACAAACTGATGTTCTCAAGCATGGCCAACCCATCCAAACTCCTCTGGCTTCTCTGCAGAAAATAGTAAACTGAGTCTAAGAGTCGTTTGGAAATTCAAGGAATCCCAAATAGTTACAACAATCTTGAAAAAGATGAACAAAGTTGGAGGATGCACATTTCCTATTTAAGGCTCACTGTAAAGCAATGGCAACCAAGACAGCGTGGCACTTGCAAAAATGAGATAGAATTCAGAGTCTATGTTTAAATTCTTAACTTTCGTCATCATTTGATTTTTTTTTTAAAGTTTCATATAGTTGGGGCCCGGCGCAGTGGCCTAGCGGCTAAAGTCCTTGCCTTGAACACACCTTGAACATACCAGGATCCCATATGGGTGCTGGTTCTAATCCCCGCAGCTCTGCTTCCCATCCCTGATTGTGGCCTGGGAAAGCAGTTGAGGATGGCCCAAAGCCTTGGAACCCTGTACCTATATGGGAGACCCGGAGGAAGCTCCAGGCTCCTGGCTTTGGATTGGCACAGCACTGGCCGTTGCGGTCACTTGGGGAGTGAGTCATCAGGCAGAAGATCTTTCTGTCTCTCCTCCTTTCTGTATTTCTGACTTTGCAATAAAAATTTTCTTTAAAAAAGTTTAATATATTTGAAAGGCAGAAAGACACAGAGAGGAATAGAGAAGAAACACAGAGACAGACACACAAACAATACCAGACCTCCATCCCTATTCTACTCCCCAGATGCATAGAGAAGCCGCACTGGGCCAGGCCAAAGCCATGAGGATGGAGAGAAGCCAACTTCTGGAGCTCAGCCAGCCCCTCCTGTCTCCTAGGTGTGTGTTAGCAAGACACTGGAACCTCGGACTTAAACACAGGCACTTTAACAGCCAAATGGTGTCTTAGCCATTACACCAAGATAAATCAAAGGGAAGAGAATTTTCAAGATGATTCTATTTTGATTCAGTCTTAAAAAACCTAAAGATTATGATTTCAAATAACGCGTGGTCTTAAAGCACATGAACAGTATTGCAAAATCCACCACCACTGCGGGAATTATAACACCTTTCGATAATGACTGGTCAGCACACAAAACACAAAATCTGAACAATGCAAATCTTGAGCTGATGAACTAGAGACCATATATGCTCTCTAGCACAGACCTACGACTTTCAGCAAGTCACACTGAAGTCACAACAGTCACCAAAGGAATCATGCACACAATGGCATGCATTTCAACATCAACAGCAATCATATAAAAACTGCAAAAGCAAAATGTCTGTCTAGAAATACAGGAAACATAATTCTGAATAAGCTTTGAAGCAAAGGAGAAATCCTAGTGGGAACAGAAATGCCACATTTTAAAATTGGAGGGACACAACCAGAATAGTGCTCCGAATGAAATGTGTCATTTGAAACGCCTAATTAGGAAAGCAGACAGCCTGAAAGCCAGGGAGGGGAGCTCCCCACCAGAGGAGTTACAAGGAGTGTTGCAACTCACGCCAGCATGAAGGACAATCTTTAATACACAAAAAGAGCTCTTTTAAAAATGAGAAGAAAAATATCCACAAGTCATTAGAAAAATGACCCAAGAATCTGGATCATTCAAAGAAAACAGTAAAAAAAGAAAGAGGAACAAATGACTCTGCAATGGAGTAAGCTTGCACATCTTTTCTTAAGAGAAATGCAAATTAAAGCCACAAGAAGAAATCATTCTTTATCTAGATTCTTAGCTGATGATTGGCCTAAATCCCTAAGTTTAAAAATATACAGGCCTGGCACAGTTGTAGGGAAACTGACACTCTAGAACAATGCTAGGAGCAGGGCATTGTACCAAAGTGGGGTGATCTGGCAGTACACATCAAAACTGCATGTCCATTTTCAGGTACTTCACCTTGTAGATTTACACTCTGCAGATCAGGACAATTCCCAGAGGTGATTTTGTGTTTATAAAAGATTAGAATAACCTAAAACAGGCTGGTGTTGTGCCACCACGGCTTACTCCACTGCTTGCAACACTGGCAATCCTATATGTGCACCAATTCAAGTCCAGGCCGCTCATTTCCCCATCTCGCGCCCTGCTAAAGGACCTGGGAAAGCAGCGGAGGACAGCCCTGGTACTCAGATCCTACCACCCACACGGGAGACCTGGATGGAGTTGTTGGTTTCTGGCTTCCACTTGACCCAGCTCCAGTCACTGTGGTTATTTGGGGAGTGAACCAGCAGATGAAAGATGTATGGATGGCCTGATTGCTCTGTTTTTCTGCCTTTCAGATACATGAAATCAGCCTTAAACCAAAAAATAGAATGTCATATCATGCCACCGAATGGTAAAAACAGTGATTAGTGAAAAGGTCAATTGGTACCACTGATGTGGCACAAAACAATGCATCTTGTCTGTCATCTATTAAGGTCTGTGACAATTAAGGTACGCCAAAGGCAATGGCTGAGACTATCTCTGCAGGAGCAGCAGGAAGCCAGGAGAGTGGACCACAAATGTATCATCAGCACTCCATTCCTGTTTCCTAAAAAAAGTAATAATAATAATAATAATAAAATCTGAATAAGATACCGTGAGACAGTAACACCTGTTTAACTTGGCAGTGAATTCACTGACCTCTGGGACAGGTGCCTTCCAGCTCCATTCACAGCCCCTTTTCACCTGCCCTTCTTCCATCCTGTCTTTTCTCTAAAATAATGCACACCCAACAGCACTTAACCATGTTTCAGTCTGTTCTGGCTCAAAAGACACACCTACAACACAGCACGCCCACATCTGCACGGCACCTCTTAACAGCTCCGCTTCTCAGTGGGATTCCTTCCGGGGTTTCCTCAGCCAGCACTTTGTGTTTAGCCTCGCACACTGAAATTGTCCTTGTAAAGACCACCAAAGCCCTGTCATGAGGCCTACTCCCCAAGAACTGCTCAGGGGTAATGGGGTGGAGGACTGATACCTTCCGTCTGGTCCCCCACCCTGCTGTCTGAGCTCTTTATTCCCACATGCAGGCTTTGCATCCATCCAGACCATGCCTGTGATCACCCACAAGCAGGTTTTAATCCTTCTCTTCCGGGAAGGCTCAGCAGCAGCAGACAACTGGGTCCCCCATCATAAGCTCCTTCACGGCCTCTTCCTGGCAACACCCCCTCCTGTTCTCCTGCCCGTGTTCTCAACAAGTGGTGTCCTCCAAACGCCATCTCTCAGTTCCTCTGGGCACTTCCCAGTGGCCCCTGGCTTCGGTCACAACAGCCGTGACGGGAACTTCCAGCCCCTGGGTTCCACTGAGTTCTCTCAGGGCTCCAGGATCATAGACCCTCAGTCTGCTCAGTCACCTCCACTGGGATGCCTAATGGCCACTGGAATCAGCATGCTCATGTGCAAGGCTGGACTCAGTGTATCCTTCACCGAGCCCACTGCTCTGCCCACTGCGCTATCTCAGAAGTCCCTGGCACCATCTATCCAGGTGCTCAAGCCAGAATTCTGAGAGATAACCCCCACCCCTTCTTCTATAGGTTTTGTCCCCCAACTCATCCAAGTCTCTCGAAAGTTTCACATTTCTTCATTTCAAGGCCACACTTAGCCCTCTGTCCATGTATCCACCAATCCACACGGTAGGCCATCGTCTCTTGCCCCCGGGCTTCCTGCATTCCTCAGTGTCCTTCCACCAGGAAGCCCTTCCCTCCCACCCCCTGCACCATTCCACACCTGCTGGACTAATTTCTCATGCTCCCACTGTCGGCTCCAAGGTCACTTTTTCCAAGAGGTCTGTCCTCTACTTACCCTCAACTCACTTTACTTCCCTATTATATATTTATTCATTTATTTTTGTTCCCCAGTGATCTACACTTGACCTGTCACCTTATTTTTGCTTTACAGACTTATTTGAAAGGCGGTGCAGCAGAGAGTGAGAAAGAGAGAGATACAAACAGTGAGTGCACGTAGGAGCTCTTACACCTCTGATTTACTCCCCTTACGGTTTCGACCAGGACCCAAAAGGCAGTGGTGATGGCTCAGGGAATTAGTTCCCTGTCAGCCATATGGGAGTCCAGGCTCATGTTCCCAGCTCCTGGCTTTTGTCCTGGACCAGCCCCAGTTGCTTCAGACATGTGGGGAGTGAACCAACAGGTAGGAACTCGCCCCATCTACCTGTCTCCTCCTCCCTCTTTCTGTTTACCTCAAATCAATGAGAAAAAAAGTTTAAAAAGCTACATACAAAGGCACTTCAAAAAGTCCATAAAGGAATGAAATTCAAAGACAAATTTATTTTGATATAGAAAAAAAAAAAAAGCTCAAAAAGCATGCACACATGTGCAGAGACCAACTGATCAGCCTTCTGAGCCGGTTGAGAAAGATGACAACTGAACCAGCTTCCCACCCACTCAATCATTTTTGGGTGCCCACTTGGTGCCAGGCACGGACAGCACAGAAGAAAACAGGATGGACAGCGCTCCGCCTCCTCGGAGCTCACCCTGCTGACGGCTGGCAGAGACTGACTCCAACAAGGAAGGTGACTTCAGGTCATGCTACACGCTTGGAAATCCCCAAGACTCTGTTGACCCCTCACCAGCACGGGAGGAGAAGCTAGCTCATGTGTACGTGAGGCAGCCCTGCAGCTGGGCTGTTTGAATATAACCTGAGCAAGGGATGAGCCGGACTTCCAGGGACCTGTGGGAGGATCATTCTAGGTGGAGGGAACAATGAGACCTGCTGATTCAAAGGACAGAAGGCAGCCAATGTGGCAGAAACACCACGAGTATTTTTATCTCTAGCCTAGATCTCGCCCTGAATTCCAGATCCCCAGAGCTAAATGCCAACTGCACATCCCAGGGAGATGCCTGATGGGCACCCTGACACTGGTATGTTGGAAACCAACCTAAGTGCCTCCCCCAGACCTACTCCTTCACACGCTTCAGTCAGTGACAATTCTATCCTCTTAGCTGTTTCAACACAAACCTTTGGGGTCATCCTTTACTCAACCCCACGTGCATTCCCTCCAGTAATCCTCTTGGCTCCACCTTCAAAATGGACACAGAACCTGCTCGTGTCCCACCCTGGATTTGGGCTTTCAACACTGACCAACACATGCTGCATATGCAAATCTGCACTATGGGAAGGTATGTCTGGTGGGCAGCACACGGTTCTCTAGGAGTGTGTGTCTGTGTGTATAGAATCACTTGGGGAACTTTACCTACCACACTTCGGCCTGCCAAGTGGCACTTGTTAAGAGGCTGCTGGCTGCAATGCAGGTGCCAATCACAGAAAACACAGAATGAGTTCCAGAAACCACCCACCACGAATGGGCTTTGGGAGTCACCCCAAGAGGCTTCGGCTTCCTTCCCGCATCTCCCTTCTTGGGTGTAATCCTAGGCTCGCGTCCATGATTCTTGTGTGAACATTTCCCTCCCCTGTGGCCCACACATTCCACGAGGGCAGAAGCTTGCTACTGCGACCCTCAAGGCAAGACCCCGCTGGAGAGTTGTTTAATGACCAGAGTGGGCACAGCATGAAGGAGGAGTAGTCAGGTGATAGGAAGTAAAAAATGTCAGGAGAAGGTGGGCTGTGGTAGGAACTCAGAGGAGAAGTTATGGGAGAATGGTTCAGTCCTGGAAACAGGAGGCTTACCTTGTGGCTGCAGGGGCAGGGGGGGAGCAGCAACCCCACCCGCCTCCGTTAGAATTTAGCATCACTCAGGGAGTTTCACCTTCCCTCTCCCCACACTCACCCGAACCTCAGCCTCCCGGGGCCTCCCATTGAGGTCGCACTTGGACCCATTGCCGTAGGTCTGACTGTGGTAGCGTTTCAGGCGATGCTGCTTGGAGGCCTGGCGAAAGCATTAGGCAGCAGGGAGAGGACATGAGAAAGACAGCCATAGCTGCAGAATGACCCACATCCCCACTGGACCCGGAGACCTCAGGAACCCCAGCCCTAGTAGCAGCCTTGGTTCTAGTGGCCAGCAGCTACCACTGCGCCTCCCTCCCTGTCAGGGCTTCCATCCCATGGCCCCACACCATGTCCCTCCAGTCCCACACTCCTGCCACCTTGGCTGTCTCATCATCCCAGTCGAAGGCCGATTGGTAGTAGCCGAGATAGAGGACTTCACCTTTGATCTCTGAGTCTGCAAGAGGAGCCATAGGGAAGCAGTCACTCCCTTCTCAGCGCAGGAGGCTGGAGTAGGGCTGAGGGCAGGTGGCTTGCCTTCCAGGGCAGGCTGCTGGGTGCTCAGGGCACATGCAGGAGTGACTTACCTTCCATGTGGTACTGCTGGATGTGGCGTCCGTAGCAGAACTCGTACGTCCACCAGTCTTTGGTCTGACAACGAAAAGACAAGAGTTAGTGGTGGGCCTGAGTGCAGTAGGCTCTTCTTGCGATCACAGCCTCCAGGCTCCAAGAGCTACAACCCTCCCCTTCCACACTCGACTCTCCAGTTTCCCCGTGCCCCACACAAAGAGGGAAGAGCTATTTTCCTACCGTAGCTCAGAGAGAATCCCAAACTCTATTCTCTGCCTGAGGTCTTGCTATGCCTTCCTCACTTCCCCCCTCCCCCCCAAATGTTGGGTTTTTAATCCTTTGCCTTTCACACAAATTAAAAAAAAATCATGTTATCCTTGAAGCGCTGAGACTAGGGAAACAGAAGACCCTGAGCTAAATAGCATTCCTCAGCCTGTTCTAACAGCTGGGGAGAAAGACAAGCTGAGAACCAGATACACTGCTTGCCAGGAGCCAACATCCTAGTGCTGCGAGTCAGCCCCAAAACAAACAAACTGATTTGGTGACTCTGCAGCTCAGGGAAAGGGCCAACAGAAAACAAACTAGGAAACTGGGGCAGAGAAGGACACGAAAGGGGTGACCTCATGAAGTGGTTTCCCTAAGGAGGTGTCTCTTCCTATCAGCCACAGTGACACCTCAATCTTGGTCAAACCCGATTCTGTAATCTGTCATAGTGCTTCTAGGAATCTGCGCTTCTCTCCCTGCTGGGTGCCAGGGGCCTCCATAACTCCTACAGGTACCCTAGATCCGCCTCCCTTGGCTGGCACCGGCATGTTCTAAGGGATATTGACAAGTCCCCATTCCATCCATCCAGTTCTTTCACCTTCAGCAGGCAGGGAGCGTCTCTCATGGGGCTCAACAACTCGGGGATGCCAGGCCCTTGGTAAGCAGGTGCTTCCTCCTCTCTCTCACGCTGGAAGTGGATAGCTCCAGCTGGCAGGCGGCACTCGTAGCGCTGTTTGTACTTAGAGGAGACGATCACCACGTCCGAAGCTTGGCTCTAGGGAAGATGAGGGGCGGGGGGCATGAGGTAAAGACAGCAGAGATGCCTCGGCAGACCCTGGGGAAATGCCCCAAGACAGAAGCAACCCTGGAGAGGCCTCGCGCTGTCTTCTATCTGGAGGCAAGCTCACTTCTCCCCGGAGACGGAGGCGGGGTGTCTGGTCTGGGATCCGGGACCTGGAGACTAACGGCGGGAAGACCCCCTCCTCCCGGACGCCGGCGAGCGGGTTCCAGGCTGCCATGCCCAGGAGTCACTGTAAAAGCCCTGCGTACTCTTCCCGATTCCCTTCGGCTGCCCCCAGAGCCTCTGCAGCTGCTTTTCTCCTCCTTCCTCTTCTACCTCGGACCCTAGCCCCATATACGACTTCTTACCTGCCCTCCCAAGACGGGCAATGGCAGGATCTCGATCCCGTAACGCATTTCACTCAGTTCCTCCAGGTTCAGGCTCCCAACACCGCCGGTCAGACTTGCAGGTAACAAGAACCCCAGAAGCAGCAGCCCCAACAGGCTGGACAGCAGCGTTTCCGCCGCCATCTTTCACTCCCCTCCGTAGCTAGAGAAGTTCCTTCCGCCCTAAACCTGGCAGCGGCCTCACCTCACCCATTAGCGCCGCAGATTCTCATTGGCTATACCTTCTGTCTCTCTTACGTACCTGATTCCCATTTGTAAACGTGGCCCCAAAGCTCCCTGGGAGGTGGAACAACACGATTGGCACAATCAATCCTTGCGCATGATTGGCCAGAAAAGTCAACCAATCATCGACGAGATTAGGCCCCCACCTCCCACTCCAGAGAGGCGTGGTCTGTGGTCTGGACCCTTTTTGGCAGCTTTTTGCCTTCCTTGCCCTGCTGTCCCGCGCTTTGCATTTGATCTTAGTCAAAAGGCTAAGAAACGATTCGGGCAGAGTATCCCGCCCCGCGCCGAGCGGAGTACGGAGGCGGATGGATGAGTGTGTGCGATGCGCGCGGAAGTGAACGAAAGCTTTCCACAAAACAAGCAATTCTATAGAAGTGTACGTCTTTTCACACCCACACGACTTTAGGGCAATGGGGGTAATTTGTGACAGACTTTCTGCATGATCCTGCAGTGTGCTTTAGAATGGTCAAAACTGTCGTCCAGAGAAATGTGTTATCATTGTGAAAGATGAGCATGCCAGAAGAAAACGGGGCAAGTCGAGACCGCTCTTTGGAAGCTGGACAGCAAACAAGAGAATGGTAGCCGGCTGAGCAGCCTGAGGAAATCGGCCCCTTCACAAGTGTAAGCAAGAGCATGTAACACCTTTAGAAAAACAGTTTTCTGGGAAATGTCAGCAGCGTAAAAGAAAAACTCCAAGGAAAAGGTCTTTAGCGATGTCTCAACCCCAGCCTTCATTCCTCACTGGAGACAGCTGGCCAAGTTTTTGAGGAAGGACTTTTAAGAAAGAAACCAAACCAAGGAAGCTAGCAAAAAGCAAATTAGAAGAAATAGCGATTCCAAGGGGGGAGAGGGAAGAAACAAAAATAAAGCAAAAAAAAAAAATTTTTTTTTTATCTTTGACAATCTTCACGTAGTTAATTGGGGTAAAAAGGTTCAAGGGCTATAGGAAAGTGGGAAAGACTGTTATAATCATATTGTTTCCTTCATGTTTGAAGGGCGGTATTAAGGGAGAAGGCCCACCCAATTTTGAATCCACCATCTGCAGCTTCAGAGCAATCAACAGAGTATTCATGAAATAACAACAGACGCTGTTTTAAAAGTCTCCACTAGGGGTCAGCATTGTGGGTCAGAGAGGCCACTTCCCAGGTCCGCAGGTTAAAGTCCTGGTCTACTAGGCTAAAGGACCCTGAAGGCAGTGAAAGATGGACCAAGGACTACGTCCCTCCCACCCACGGCAGAGACCAGCTGAAGTTTTTGGCTCCTGCTTCGTGCCTGGCTGTTGAATCCGTTTGGGAAGTGAACCTGCCATGGAAGATTCTCTTTCTCGGTTCGCCTTTCATATAAATAAATCTTCAGGAAAAAGTACCTGCTATGCAGATAAGCAATGGAGTCTTTTAGAAACCAGGACAAATGGAATAAAAATTCAATAGAAAAACTTGAGAAGAAGGTGGAAGGTCAGGGAAAAGTGGGTGAGCCTTAGGAAGGAGTCCAGAGGCTTCCAAGAACACCGAGGGACCAGGAGGACAAAAGTGACTCATGGGCCCGGTGCTGTGGCCTAGTGGCTAAAGTCCTCGCCTTGAATGCACCAGGATCCCATATGGGCGCCAGTTCTAATCCCGGCAGCTCCACTTCCTATCCAGCTCCCTGCTTGTGGCCTGGGAAATCATTCGAGGATGGCCCAATGCTTTAGAACCCTGCACCTGCTTGGGAGACCCAGAAGGAAGTTCCTGGATCCTGGCTTCGGATCGGTGCAGCACTGGCCATTGCGCTCACTTGGGGAGTGAATCATCGGATGGAAGATCTTTCTGATTGTCTCTCCTCCTCTCTGTATATCTGACTTTGTAACAAAAATAAATAAATCTTTTTTTTTTTTAGGTACCAATAAGCCTTGATTTATTCAATGTTATTTTCCCAGGGAAAGGAGAAGGGGTGGGGAAGTCAGTATATGTGTTACAAGGTGATTAGAAAATTGAAAGTAAAGCAAAAATCATCCAGTACAGGAAAAAAAAAAAATCAACCTAAAAATAAATAAATCTTAAAAAAAAAAGTGACTCATGACATCACAGGACAGTGTTCCCTAGATCTGCGGAACTGCGGTGGCAGAGTGAAGGACCACACTCTGTCCAGAGGAAGCCAAGGCGCCAGGCTACCGACTTCCAGAACGCTGGACGCAGAAGCAACTCTAAGGGCCGCCAGGGAGAAAGAGCAAGTCATACCATGAATCAAACAGTGCTAGGGCCCTGAGCGGTGGCTCAATGACTGAATCTTCACCTTGCAAGCACTGGGATCCCATATGGATGCTGCTTTGTGTCCTGGCTGCTCCACTTCTCTACTTTCACTTTCCTAACGCCCTGCTTAGGGCCTGGGAAAGCAAAGCCTTGGGATTCTGCACTTGCATGGCAGACCCAGAAGTTCCTCGCTCCTGGCTTTGGGTTGACTCAGCTCCAACCATTGTGGCCAGTTGTGGGGGGGAATCAGTGGATGGAAGATCTTTCTGTGCTCTTCTCCATAAATCTGATCTACCTTTCTAATGAAAATAAATAAATCTTTAAAAAATAATAAAAGAATCAACACGCTCAAATCTAAATGAAGTTATAAACCAGAAAGGGTTCAAAGTCATGCTCCTCGGGGACTATAAACTATAGCAGATTAAACTGCCACCTCCCTCCCACAGCTGGGCCTGCAAGTCAAGTCTGCGCTGCTCTGCTGCTTCTGATCCATCTTACTTGTAACAAGCCTGGAGAAGCATCCAGTGATGAACCAAGTACCTGAAACCCTGCCACTCAAGATTGACCCTGCTGGGGCCTGGCGGCATGGCCTAGTGGCTA